TCTGAGACGAGTCGCTGGCCTTATGCGTCTCGACATGGTCCACAATACATGTTTCCGCGAGAGTCTTGATGTACAGCTGCTGCTTCTTGAGACTGAGAAGTTCCAGCTGTTATGGTTTGGGCACGTATTGCGAATGTCTCAAAAAAGGAAGGCGAAGCGACTAGGCTGCCTAGTCGACTGGCAGAAGACCCAAAGGACGGCTAGGATTAACCTATGCGAATATATGTAAAGAGTCTGCTCCACACTCAAGCTGTCTTCAGCCGAGACTCAGATTCTGGCAAAGGATCGGGTACTCTAGAAGCACTGTCTGACGCGGCTGCCTCCACTATCCGAAAGGAGAAGCGATCTTGGAAGATGACGAGGATGGAGATGATTTTGGTTTCCTCAAGAGGCAATCAGTTGCTCGAGACAATCGAGATAGTCAAACGCGCGTCGAAAGTTGTTAAGGAAATTATGAGTTGAGAAAAGTCTAAACGACGGACGGATATCACATTAAATTTCCACAATAATAACGCGGTGGTGGCTTAGTCAAGGAAGTGGGACAAATACTTCATCTACGAACCCAAAAATAACAGACGACATAATTACATCAATTTTGGCCAGAAGCTCCGTGTAAGACGATTCCGGCGACGCCTTCTGTTGCGCTTGCAAAGTACCTGAGCAACAAAGCGCTTTAAGCAGACCGAGCCAATCGGAACTCAATGTCGGAAGCAGTGCTGTGATATCGGCGCACAATCTTGCGAGGTCGAAAATTCTGAAAAGTGAAGAAATGTCAAATCGGGGCATCAGGAATGACTTTAGGTCTATAGCGCAAAAATCTAGTCTAGAATTTCTTCAAGAAATCCATTATTAAGCCCCAAACTCAATGCTTTTTTCAGAATCAAAAAAAGCATAAAAGAAAGGTAGCATCGTACAGGCAGACATTCAGAAATTTCGAAAGAATTTGCCAAGTCTCAATGTTCCAACAGACAGAAACAAATGCACAAAGAAACAAGTAGGCTTTTGAAGCTACTGTTCATAGGTCCTTCTCAATAGAGTTAGCTGCTCCTGTCGTTCCTTTGCATTAG